GAGAGAGAGAGAGGAGGGAAGTACACCACAGCACCCATTAGCAAAAATGAAAAAAGAAGACAAAACAACAGCAACAACAAAAAAAACTTCTCTCAATTACCTCACAGTTCCGAGATCGCCTTTACGCGACACATCCTTTCCTATCGTGCGCCGCCTCTTCGATCGACTCCAGCTTTTTTTTTTTGGCGGTTGTTTTGTTGTTGTTGTTGTTTCTGTTCATATGCCCAGACCCAACTTATGTTATATGGATGAAAAGACGAATAAAAAGAAATTACAGTTGGGCGCTCCACAGACACACAACGGGGGCGTGAGAGCGGGCGGCTAAAACAAGTTGCACTCCTCGTACACGAGCGCGGCAACGTTGTTGACACGCTCCAGCTGCGTGTAGGCGGCGGAGGCGATAGTCTTCCGCGTGCGGACGTCAAGGAAGAAGAACTCGTGCAGCAGCGCGGCAGACACAAGCATCTCCTTTGCCCGCATCGCCGTCCGCAGCGAGTCTTGACTCAAGCCGAGGAACATGCGCGGGGTGAGCCCCGCGTCGTGCGGCAGCTCCATCTGAAGACGACGCATCAGCCACGACGCCGTCCTGTTTGCCTGCTCGCCAATCGGCACAATGAACCCCAACTCGCCGTAGTTGGTGACGTACAGCGTGACGCTAGAGTTTCCCGCGAGGGAGCGGAACCGCAGCGATTTGGCAAGGCAGCCCCCTGGAAGGCGGTATTCGCCGTCAAGCGACAAGACCGACTCGAGCACTTTGTTCGGCCTCCCCGCCTCGGTCTCCTGCACACGCGGCGTGTACCCCATCACCAGCAGATTCCTCGCATCGTCGGAGCACAAAATACCAAACGCACGATCGTGGTACATCATGTCACAGTGCACCACCGACACGGCGTTGCGATCCTTTCCAAGCACGTTGAGTGTGTGGTTCGCCTCGGTGAAACGGGCAATTGCGCAGGAGCGGAACAAATCTCCATAAATGAGATAGTTGCGGAACGACGACATTCGCGTGACGTACACCTCTGCGTACAACAGAGCACCCACCACGAGCTTCCGATTTTCCCAATCAAAGCGAAACAGCTTGATTGTTCCCCCCACGGCAACAGCAATGTGATTGCAGATCCCCGCAACGGCGGTGGCAGGTCCATTGAGAGGCTCCGAGTGGAAAATAAGTAGCTTCCGTTTCCGCTTCGTACACATTGTTGAAAGAAGAAGAATGCGACCCCTGCAGGTGACATCCTCCCCAAGTGGGAAAGCCGTACTCACCACGCAGACAGGTGCCGTATGAACTCCCTCCGCATCCTTGTCCGCGTGGATTTCCATCATTTCCGCCCCCAACACCTGCTCGTTCTCTTCCAGGAGAAGCGTATCCGTGCAAGCCCAATCCGTGGTGGACATTAAGCGGATCTCAAATCTGTCCACCATTGGCACACGAACACCCGCATTTGGGGCAACCGCCGGCATGTTACATGCAGGCACCTCCGTTGTAACGCTCTGCACGCCGCCGGCCTCTTCATCGTAGACGATGTTTAGTTGAAGGTCAAAAGGAGCGCGTTTTGGTCGAAAAGGCTCCTTCGATGACGTCACCACAAAACAGCTTCTCGCCGGTGGGTGATACACCACAAAATGCGGCGTCACCCCGAGATGGATCCTGCGGGCCAACCAGCCCTGACCCCCTGGCCGGCAATACGTATTCATGGAGGCAAAGTCAACAAACCCTTCACAGCAGTAGACGTATCCCGAAGATATGAGTCGAAAAGGCACAAAACCGCGCACAGGCCCCAACGTCTGATGACGGTACGCCGCAAGTTCCCGCGTTCTTCGGTCCCAGAAAAGAAACAGGGGATGTTGTCCACAAACGTAAGCCCCTGCATTCCCACCGATGGCATCAAAAGGAACAATGCGGCGGCTGTACTGCCGCATCAACTGAGTATCATTTTCAATCATCCCACGTTCCCGCTGCAAGCGTTGCCTTTTCATTTCAATAGACTCAATCACCTCACGTTCCGCTTTATTATCTAAAAAGTGATGCATCGACTTCGTTAGGCGGAGCGGGCCAAAGGAGTCCGAGGGCGTCACCCTATACACCGCCAGCTCACCGGTGGCGAGAATGACAATAAGTGCCGTCGCCTCCACGGCGTTCTCGTCGCGCAACGTCACCACCTCCACGTGAGTCACGCGGGGAAGCTCCTCGTCGGCAACTTCGCCTTTGCTCGACACGTCCGTGCCAAGAATGCTGTAGGGCGGCAAGGTGGCAAACTGCGGGAAGCTTGCATACGTCGCGCCAGACTCCACCTCGCTGATAAGCATGGTCGCATCCGTGGCAACTCTCACCACACGCCGCTGCTCCTGCCATAACGCAAAGGCGGTGACGCCCTCTGCAAACACCTCCTTGGTGGGAGCCGCTTGTGCCGTCTTTAGCGAAAACCGCAAAAGGGTCCCACCCTCTACGAGAACAAACAATAGCATCAAATCAGCCATGACAGAGGCAGACCTCACGAGTCGCTTTTTACCCGCCTCCCGTTCTGTGACGACAGTAAACTTATGCAGCAACGTCCTTCCATCGCAGGAAATTATGCGCCCTTCCCTCTCCGTCACCTGCAGCAAGGCGTTCAGCCATGGGATTTCGGTCGCGAACACCGTTCTATACGCCGTAAGAAACTCTGAGCGGCGCACATGCTGTAGGGATTCCTCACGCACCGTGAAAAGGATCGTGAATGAAACCCCTGTGAGAAGTAAGTAGGACGGTGCGAGATGCAGTGGAGGGTGCGTGGCGCCCTCCTCTTCCTCATGTTCGCCACGCGAACGCTTCTGAGCATGCGGGAGCTCCAGGAGGAACGCAGAGACCGCATTCACGTTCTCCCTACGAAACACATTGTTTCGGACGGACTGCCGCATCACGTAAAGAGCACCGCTCCCGCCACGGCCTGCGCACACAGCCAAATCCATGACCGCCCGACACTCCGCGATGGACACGCTTGGCATCGGCTCCAGTGTTGTGCTTCGCAACAACTCCGCGTACGGCATGTCATCCAGTGAAGTGCTGTTGATGCTGTCTCGCTGACTCGGGTCGTTTTCAGCGAGCGAAGTACAGTCCACGACGTCAACATCCGCAATGCAACCCACAGCCTCAATACGATCTATAATCCGAAATCGTTCTGCCACCTCGTCGTGAAGCATATCAATCTTGGCAAGGCAGGAATCGCCACAGACGGATCCCAAAAAGAAAAGCTGGTTTCCAATGGGAGAAATGCTTGAACAGTAACAGCCAGTCCCCAGGATACTGATGCGAATGCTTTGCACGAAGGAACTCTGTGCCGCGAAGGTAAGCGTGAGCACCACCCCATCCTCTTCCGACACAGCAAGTAACCGCAGCATCTCATTTGCGGTGCCCATCGAGGCCGCCGTGCAGTTTGCCAAGGAGAGATTGACCCTAAAGAGGGCCGTTGAAGTTTCCATCTGAGGGTCGCTCCAGCCCACCTTTCCAAAGGACATGGCTGATGACTTGCTGTTTGCACACTCCTCCATTCCGCCGTTGTTCAGGTAGACGCCGTACCCGCGCTTTGTCGTGACGTGCATCACAGTGTTGATGCCGTGGCAAACGACGCCTGAGGGAATCTGCGCAAATGGTCCAACGGGGGTCATGTGTGTCACGTTGTATGGAACATCGTCCACCTCACCAATGAGCAGTAGCTTTCGATTAGGCGTCGATGCAGCTGATATTTGTACCCAAACTACTTGGGAGGACAACATTTTCGATTCCACCGCCTTGGTGCGCCACTCCACCAACTTCACACGACCTGCCCATGTGGGGTGGCGTTCGCACAAAAAGGCAACAATGGGCTCCCCGGATGACTCAATAAATTGCATGTCGCGCACATAGCGAATGGAACCGTTGGCCGCTAACGCAATGGAAAACATAGCGGGGGCGCCAACGTGGAGGAGCCCATCCGACACACCCACAACCTTGGAGTTGTGCTCCCCAGAGGGTATGTGCGTCGTCGTCGTCGTCGTCGTTGCCTCGGGCGGTGTGGAATGGTCCCCCTCAGTAGCGAGTCCCTTGTAGTCGTCTTCGTCACCCCAGTCATCTACGGGCGCAGTGGCTTCCTTCGCTTCAGTGTCGGCCGCATCATCTGTACAACTTCCGTTGACGTTATCGCCGTTGTCGGACCGATTTAGACCCAACAAGGGAATTAAAAACATGTGACGTCGGCGTGCCAATACGGCGACAAAGCGCCCCGTCGGATCCGCCCGCATGATGGGCTCCAAGGGGGACACCTCACCCACCACCTCCCTATCGTCCAACTGCACGAGTGCCAAGGTGCGAAGCCGCATAGGCACCGGGTCGTATTGAACAAATGACACGTGAAAGTCGTCAAGGCACATGACGACGACATCCACGTTAAACCCAGGAGGTCGGCACATGGCAACTGACACAGGCGGTGCGTTTAGCTGCGTGCTGGTGACGTACGACAGCGGCGACCCCCCCTCTTGTCCACATGGAATTCGCCAGAGCTCAAGGTTGTTCTGTTTAAACAGAATCAGCTCCCGCACCCCCGCGGGAAGCCCGGCGGAGAATTGACCAACGAGGGAGTGGGTTACGCCCGACGCAGGAAAACTCGGTTTCACGGCCGCGTGCAGCATTTCACCAACGCGGCACGTGTAAGAGCTATTTCAGTGTGTTTGACAAGCCTCCTTTCCCTCTAAGTCGGGCGAGCGAGCGGGCGGCAATTGCACTCACGCACACACACACAAGCAGAGAAAACGAGGAAAAGTAAAACGGAGGCAAATTGCACATAAACAGGCACAACCGCAATCAAGTGTTTACGCCGCACATACATTCACAGAGGCAGCGGCGGGAACGGAGGCAACACACTCCGACACAATCCATTTCAACTAAAAAAAAAAAGGTCTTTATTTTCCACACAAAAAATATGATATTTAACTAAAGAGGGAATAAGACGCGAAAAACAACAAAACCAAGGGAGAATTATCACTGAAACGGGGTCTGTAAGCGGCACCCAAAACAATAGAAACACGCTCAGAACAAAATAAATCCTTATCTCTCTTATTCGCAGGATTTGCCTCCTCCCTTATCGCCCCCACAGAGTCGCTCGGGTAATAGCCGAGGCGCAACTCAAGCATCAAGGCCGCTCAAGGGCATGCATGAGAGCAAGGAGTGCTTTACTCTCGTTCGTCTGTGCCCTCTTTAGCATGGAGTCATAGCTTAGTCTGAATCCATGGTTTGCCGCAAAGTCTACAACTTTTCGACTGCTGGACATGAGAAAGAAGAGGGCAAGAAGCATCATGTTCATCGTCGCCTCTGGTATTCGCCCTTGGGGCCAGTGCTGCAGGTAAAAGAGCAGAACTGTCACCAACCGACTAATGCGAAGAAAAGAACTGGATGCAGCATGTTCCTGCGACAGCTGAGGAAGTCTCGTCAGGACAAATGCATGTGCCAAATCTACGGCCAGGGTGGCGCCCGTGTAAACAATGGCACCGTTTTTATAATCCGCGAGCGCCAGTCCGACGACGCTCACCCATAGAAAAGCAAACCGGTTGGAATTCAGTGTCAGAGCGCCTTGAAAACTCGAAGACAAATTGCATAAAACCCGCAGCAGCGCAAGTTTGCCGTCAGGAGTCATGTTTAGAAAATCCCGCGCACCAATTGCCAGTAAACCAGAGAAAGTAGGGTGGGAAAGACAGGCGCACAACACCCCCTTGTGTAGCAGAGCTATACGCAGAGAGTTCAGCACGGGTCCCCACAGCGTTCTATGTGTGTGGACCAAAATACGGACAATGAGATCGGCATAATCAGTAAAAATCATCGGATCCATCGTCTCGACACCTGCACCGATGAGCTCTGCGGATATCAAGGCCAGTTTGGCGTCTGGGCCGACTTGCCTGCGTTCTTGCAACTGCTCCACATACGGCTTGAGTGATTCAAAGGCCTTGCGACCCTTGAGAGGGTCATCTACGCGGAAGAGAACAACACACGGGGGTGGTTCCGTGTTTAGAGCGCATGCAGCTGCAGACATTGTAACAGACATCGCGGCGCGCAGCTGTTCCAGCCCTTGTTGGTGCCGCCCACGATTCATGATGTAGTTTGTGTATGGGGAGTAACATGTCAAGAGCTCCACCACGCCTGTGCCCAGCCCCGATTTGCAAAGCTGCTCGGTGGTGGTGAAAAGAAACGAAGGCATGGCAGTGCTTGAACCGAGTAGAAAGGTTACAGCATCGTTGGTAAAGCTGTGACAGTTGCATTCAATCGGGTGGTACGCACTCGCGTGATACTTGTCCTCCTCGAGCTGACGAATCCACGTCATAAACTCAGAAAGCGTCTTTGTTGTTGTGCCAAGTAAAAGCGTTTCGTACTTCTTCCCAAAACGCGTACGGCCAGCTCCCAAAGCGCTTATTCCGCCACCAAAAAAGAACTCCATTCCGTAGCAAACCACTGCGCTGTGGTAGAGGCCAGAAACGTGAAATCCCAGCAGTTCCTGACTGTGCCGATTAACAAGACCGAGGCTCAGGTCGTACACGTGCAACATCACCGTAGCGACCACGGGGGAGCGTGGCGGAGTCACTGTCGATAAAACCAGCGTCACGCGGTCTGACACTGCCAAATCGAGGCAGCTTTTGTCAGGAGGGCAAAAGGATGGGAGTGGTTTGGAGGCAGTCCGATTCACCTGTGCTGGAAAAGTAGCTCCTCGTGAAGAGGCAGCAATGGCGATCATTTGGGCGTAGCTGAAGAACCCTGGCGACCGTGGCATACTTGCCTTTCGCTGGACAGACTTGGCCACCGCATTGAGAGTCTGCGCCGCCGGCGTCTCCGTGGCCCCGGCGTTCTCCCCACCCCCGCTCGCAAACGGCTCGTGGGAGCTTCCGTGGTTTTCTGGCATCACTCCCCGCGAAGCAACGCCTCGGTCGGTCCCAAGCCACGCAGTCAAAAAGAAGAAAAAAGGAAGAAATAAAAAAAAACCCGCGCCACTCCCCGGACCAGCCCCACACCCGAGCCCAACTCAACCGCACCACCTTCTCCTCTAACGAAACCATGGGAAGAGAGACGGCGAGGATGCAAACACGGCACACAGCCCAGACCAAAGCACAGGGGGCAGGCAGCAGTACTTCATCTCCCAATCTATAACGTCATCTCTCGCGTTTACATGAGAAACAAGCTTCACACATGTCATGGAACCGTGCACGCATGCATATATAATACATCCGACACGCACACGCACGCCAATACAGCAATAGTATGAGAGACAAAAAAAAAAAACAACAAGAAACATATGCAGATATCTCGCATCAACGCATCCTCCGTGTTGTTCGTTATTTCCCTCTCCCGCTGAGGCATCACCAATAAAAATAGGAACACCGTAGCTGTTAAAGAACCTTTTTTTTCTTCCTCGCTTGTCGGTGCAAACCCCGCTTCCTCTTTACATGCACACAAAACTTCCATGCAGCTATGGAATACGCACCAACTTCATGTCCCACCTCTTCGCCGCGTCCATTCCGTGAATTTTGCCCTTCAGTGATTGTCTAAAAAGTTCCTCCGCGTCGTGCTCGAAGCGTTTTTCTTTTGCACGCAGAAGCCGTTTCATGTGACGTTCGGCGGCCCGCATTTCCTTCCTTGACAACCCCACTTGCACCCGGTACTCCCTCATTCTGCGGCGTCGAGCTTCGTGCTCTCTGTTTCGCCTCTTGATCTCGTCTTGAACTAGGTGTGCCTCCATAATGACGTTTTTGCGTGTATTCTTTACCTTCGCCATATTCTCTTCCGTGTGACGATCCTTGGCTTCAAGGAAGCCGTTGAGCTTCTGCTGTTGCTTCTTGTAATCCCACAGCGCCTTCTCCCGCCGCCGTGCCCTCTCCTTCACCGATTGCACGTAATTTTCAAAGGTGGGGAACACACCCACTTTGGCCCGAGCACGCAGCTCTGCCGCAATTGTACCTACCGGCTGCACCCCTTCCATCTCATCCATAAATCCGTTCCACTTCTTGTAGTTTGACTTGTTTCGTTGCACCTCCAACTGCGCCAGACGCACATACGCGGCGAGTTGTCGCTCATGGGCAGACGCGGCCCCCGCAACTGGTGACGTCTTCGTAAACCCCTCCGCCGCCCCATGCCCAAGTGCATTTGCACCATCGGCATTCCTGACAGCGGAGGACACTGAAGCGCCCGCCGCCGCTCCTTCCTTGGCGCCTTCCGCCTCATTTGCCTTCCGCAAGGAACGGGTAAAGTCACTGTACTCCTGCGCCATGGCAGAACTGTCGTGCGCGTACCGCAGCAGGAAGCGACGATACTCGTCCAGCTCCTCCAACTCCAATTTCAGTGTCGCGGAGTCACGACATGGGTATGAGACGGGCGGTAAAAAAGGTGGATCCGGCGGCGGTCTTGGACGCCGCGACACACCACTTCCGCTACTCTTACGACTGAGGGCGAATTGCCCCCCATCGGCTGCGTCATTCGCGTGTTTGGTCCGAAACTGCCTCAAGACATGCGTATACAGCCCCTTTGCGCTAGCCTCTCGCTTTGAGGCGGAGGCCAGGCGGTCGGACACCACAGAGGTTCCCCGTCCGGAGGACCGCCTGGGCGTTGACTGCGAAGATTCTAACGCCAACGGAGCGGCATTTGATGCCGTGCCCTCACCGCCATCGGCAACGGGGGGTTGTTGCGGCGTACCGGCCTCCTGCGCACCGCCGTACTGCGGAATTGGCCTGACGAGGCCCAACTCATCAATGGCGTCGTCGTCTTCGGTTTCAGTGTCCAGTTCCGCCAGCAACTTCTCCATCACGGCCTTTGGTATCTTTGGCACCCCGGGGGCGTCCGGAAAGAGCTTGCAGCGTTCCTTCCACTTCTGATGCACCTCGCCTTCCACGATGAGGCGATTCTTAATTGCCAGCACCTTGCGTATGTTGTTCTGCCGCGCACGCTCCGTCAGCGTATAGCGCACGAGCACCGCGTTCTTATCGTCTCCTGCCCGCTTAAACAACTTCTTGGGACGGTGAAGCAAGTCCCGCGGCACGAGCCCGATTTCATCGCACCCGAGTACGGCGGCCTTTCCCTCCGTGCCGAACAGGTTTGCGTACGCGGCGTCTACCTCCATCCACGACACCGCTGGAACGAGTGGGAAACCAACGGCGCGCCTACGCCTCTTTTCCGCCGCAGCATCAGTGGAGAAAGAATGCGGGGTCCCATGCAGAGTGAGAGAAAGGGAGCGGGAGGTGTGAGGCACACACACGCACACACAAATGAAAAAAAAAACAAAGAAATAAAAGAAATCAGGGTTACAGCCAAGAGATGCACAACAGTGCAGAAGACGACGGAAAGAAGAAAAGAGAGATAAAAAAAACAAAGGGACAAATAAACAACAACAAAACACAACCACACGTGCATGTACAAAAATCACAAAGTGGGTGACGCAAAGCGCAATGATCCACTCTTATCTTTCGCCAATTTACCGCATTGGCAAAACCCAGCAGCAAACAGATTTCAAAAGGAGCCACGCCACGCGCAAACTCGACCGTCAAATTATCACCATTGCATCATCCTTGTCGTATGGGGCGTTTCCCTCCTCCTCATCGTCCTCGTCGTCAATGATGACAGGTGCATCTAAAGAACCCACGCGACTCTCCCAGCACGGTAGGAGGAGGCGAGGTGCGCCACACATCTCACAGTACAGAAATGCCCCAACAAGACTGCGAAAGTGGCACCTGCTGCATGCCCAACTTCCAGAGTAGTCAACGCCGTCCTGGCGGCATTCGCTCTTCACTGCAATGCCTTCAGAGGACCTCTCGCGCTTCACAGCATTCCCGCAATCGGCAAAGAGACACTGCATTTTAGACCCCGCCAGTGGCTTCTTCACATCATCCTTTTCATACTTAAGTATGCGCTCTAACTGTCTCGTAAACTGAAGCATACTCTCTCTATTCTCCCCGGAAACCACCGCCTCCTCCGCTTGCGCCGCTTCCGTCCTCAGGCAGCGATGCAGCAATGCCACCCAAGCTTCTAGAAACGCGACCCCATGTTGACCTTCTGTCAGGTGAGCCAGCTGGTGAAGGACAGCGGTGCAGACGCATGCCACGGGCAGCAACTCAGAGGCTCTACATGGGGAACGAAGACGTACTCGCACCACGGCGCGCCCTGGTTCGACGACTTCCCCGCGCGACATCACCGATGTCGTTGTTGGAGAGAACTCATGGAGGCAGATCACTTGCCATTCTTTTTCCCGAAGGATAGGGTCAAGATAATCCGCCAAGCGACCCAGGAAACTGTACGCAGACAAGTCCACCGTCGAGGTGGCCAGAGGCCTTATGTGCTGCACGGCAAACCGTGCGAGACCAGGCAGGGCTAGGCGTGCACAGTTGCACGCCTCACAGCGCTGCAGACTGCAGTAGTTATGAAACGAGCACCGTGCACAGTCCCATCCTTGTTCGCCTCCGTTGCGGTCCACGGCGTCGGAGCAGAAATCACACACCGTAAGAGTAGATAGATTAACATTCCCACATCGCGGACAGGGCCAACCACCCTGGCTCGGCGGCGTACTTGACATGGCAGCATCATCGCGGCCACATCCGTCACCTTCACCCCAACGCGTCTGCTCAAGTCGTCTCTGCGCGGCCTCCGCAAGGAGCTGCCGCAGTGAACTTGGACACGCTGGACGCGGCGAGGGTCCGCTTCCACCCAAGCGATGAACTCCTGTGAAACGGAACGTTCGGCCAGCCGTTCTCTCGTTCTTCCCAGACGCCATGCCCAGTTCCAACCGCTCACACTCGACAACAAGCTGAGCGTACAGGCCCCAGAAGTACTTGTCGTGTCTGGAATACTGACAGTGTGCAATCTCGTGCAGCAGTGTGCAGAGCACCTCGCTGAAGGGGAGAAAGGTGGTCTTCGCACCCGGGGCACGAAATCGGACGCACACCTCGTCACCCTTGTTCACATTAAGCCCCAACAAACGCGCGCTACGCGGGTAAAACTCTTTCAAATGTTTGATCTTCCACTTGTGCGCCAAAAGAATAGGGTGGGCGCGCATCAGAAGCAGCTGCATGTACTCCCGGGCGTCGTCATCCTTCGCCCACCCCAGCGTCGTGGCCACGCCAATTGTGTTGTACTTCTGCGGGTTGTCCGCAGGCCGCGCCATTGCGCAAAAGGACGGTCCGCTGGGCCGCCGGCCCTCCTCGCCCAGCGCCGTCTGCCCCCCCTTTTCAGCAGAATTGCCACGTCAAGGAAAACAAAAGAGCAACAATTCATCAACCGACACACACACACACACACGCACCGAGAGAAAGTAACGAAGGAGGGTCAACCACATTATTGCAGTAACATGCTCAGCAAGCACAAGAGAGACCGAGCGCAAACAAGCTGCTTCATTCCTGCCCAAAATGTGTATCCGCAGCTTCCAACGAAGAAGAAGAAATTCCGAACCAAAGCACCGCGGACAAAAAAAAAGCAGCAGCAGCGTCAGAATTCAGTAAGCACGATACGCGCTATTGGTTCAGGCGGGCGTCTTCAAACTGCTGCTGCATGTTTTGTGCAAACCACCACTCCATCCCTGGAGGAACAATAGGAGTATTTTTAACGTAATCAAAGAACTGGAGTGGAGCGGTCATATACGCCTCGGCGGAGGGAAAATTGGGCGGCCATAAGTCTCTCTGTCCCATAGATATACCGCTAACGATAAATTCCGGTCCCAACGCCTGTTGCATAATCGTTTTTCCATGCAGGTGATCTAATTCATGCATGAGACACCTCGCCCGCATGCCATCCAGCACCTCCGCCTTCTCATTTCCATACTCATCCCACCCATTACACGTGATAGACTGCGGTCGAAGGACCCAGGCAGTGGTCGCCCCACACGAAATACAGTTTTCCCACATCCCGTACATGGGAGCAATGGAGGTTCGGTCGTCGTAGCCAGGAACGCTGGGGCTCACCCACACCTCAAACGCCTCGTCATCTGGCTGGCTCTTGATAAGCACAACCGTGGCGTCCCAGTGCCCTTTTGGGGCACTGAAGGAAATACACCGCAAGTCAGTCGCCATTTTCTTCAAATTGAGAAGCTGCGAGTGAAAAAGCGGGGTATTTATATGGTTTTTGTCCAGACGCAGCGCGGGCCGTGTGAGGGAGCGATGCGGATAACAGGCCACTCTGGACTTCACTTGCGCCTCGATTTCCAACTGCGCGGCGATGCGGTCTTTAAGCCGCTTTTCACGTGCCGCCGACCGCCGCAGGCCCAACGCAGGCGCCGTCCGTGACAGACGCCTCAGCATGAAAGCCAGAGGACCCCTAAAACTGCCAAAAGCAAACAAAAATAAAAAGCGGAGAGACACGCGAAGAGAAAAAAAAAAAGTTTATTGGCTCCACATTTGCGCTGCAGAAATAGGAATCGCAGGCAAGCGAAGCGAACTGTCGTGGCGACAGCGGCCAGCCGCAGCGGAGGGGAAAAAAACGTCAGTGCCCAGCGAAGAAGTTGTGCTGGAGCAATTTCACAAACACAACCGACGCAACACGTTGGACGATTGAGGGGGCATGCATTCATTCCCCGTCTTTTCTTTGCAGACCGCATTGCTACGCGTCAACACACCCTCTTTCTCACTCGCGTTCGCTCTCCCTCCTACTTTAAGTGCCATTTTTTTTGTTATGCATTTGTGTAGGTGTGTCCCTCCTCCTTTTCACATTTCTTTTTTTTGCTGCACTTGCGTTTTTCTTTTTTTTGCTTCGTCAGCCTTTTCCTTCCGCCAGCAGCCCCACGCCTCCCTTCGCATCACCCGCACCATCTATGACGCCCACCCCCTTGACAGCGGCAAGCCTGGCGCGCGAGAGGAACGAGAAAAAGAAAACCGCGACGACTTTCGGCGGGGGAGAGGCGGCGGGTCTTTCTGCAAGCACGGCGGCACACACACGGCACGGCCTCGGCACCACGCACGCGGAGAAACACGAAAACACAAAAAAAAACGTAAACGGGAGCGAAACACACAACAAGGCAAAAGAAGATACATGGCGGAAGAGACGCCTTTCAGCACTACCAGCTGAAGGGAAAGTCACTTTTGTTCCTCCTACTACACGCTGGGGCGTCTCGCCAGCTTGGCGGGGGGCACGAAACCGCACATATGCGCGAATACATAAACATGCGCGTGCCCGCGTCCTGCTCATGCTGACGGCGGTGATATATTGAAACGTGGTTGACGCACACAAAACAACCAAAAAAAAACAACCACAAAGAGCGAATTGAAAGCGGAGAAGGGGATAACGAGGGGGGAGGGGGTTCAAACGACGTGTTGCATCACAGGCATGACGATCACGTCTACCCGCCCCCAGGTGCCGCTCCTTACGGCTATCATCGAAACAGCGCACAGCCACAGAACCATTAGTAGTAATACTAAAAGAAAAAAAAAACTCAAAAGGCGCACAGACTAAAAGAAAAGAAAAAATACATTCATGTATTTCTTGTTGTTGTTGTTTTTTTCGGTCGTTCTGTTTCACACTTTTTCTTTTCTTTTCCTTTCTTTCGCTCTATCTGCTTCTGTGGGGCCTGTCTTCCCTCAGACTCCCTCACGGAGCCGGAGGCAGTACTCTTTTCCTTTCGTTACACCCGCCAGAATGTTGGCCTCCCACTGGCCGCCGCCCTCACCCCTTAGGGCCCTTTTTGTCCTTCTTTTCTTTCTCCCTCGCGTCAGTGCGGCGGCGCCTCCGCCGTGCTCTGGCTAATACGGCACGGACGTCGCCTCTTTGGTTTCGCAGCGGCTTCGCCTTCGTCACACACACACACACACACACACACACCCGCCCACACACGTTGTGCTCGCACATTCATGAGCAATCTTTTTGCGTCGTCACCATCAAACACCTCCATCGGCGCCGCCTTCTGCGTCTGCTTCCCACTCACGCATTTTACGAGCTTCGCTAGTTGCTTCTCCTTCAACCCGCCGCCTCCGTCACCAACAATTCCCTCTCGAGGTTCTCCTTCGCTGCGGCGTCGCACCTCCGCGAGCACAAACAACATCACTGCAAAAACAAACAAACAAACGAAAAACAACAACAACGACGCGGCAGCCGCTACAAAAGCAACCACGGCCGCAAGGGCTAATATACTGTTAACGGAAGGTAATAAAACAAAAAAAGTTCCGTAACAGTGTGACACACACACACACAAAGCGCGACCACCGCCACCCGACAGCTGAAATAATGATTGTAAGAGAGAGATGGGGGAAAAAAAAAACACATTTTCATTTACTACACGGAACTTCTCTCACTTCATCCAGGTCACATTATCTCCGTTTTTCTCTTCTTTCCTGCTGCTGTGCCCTCCTTCACATTATCCTTTGTCGCTTTATGTAGCATGGGATGCACACCTATTTCCCGCCGTTGGTGTTGTTTGTTTGTTATCTCTCTCTCTCTTTGTTTTTGCCCCTTCATTCACACCACATCTCAGAGGGGCTGAGATTCAGGGCTTTCAGTGCCGTCGCGTGCAGCTTTCAGCGGCGGGGCGCCGCGGTGGCTCTCTGCCCAAACTTTCAAGATGAACTCTGCCTCCTGAGGAGAGTTTATGTGGCTGCTAAAGAGCGGCTGGCTCAGCAACTCCACGGCGACGCTCGGAGAGGCCCCAGCGCGATTGACGAGACATTTTGCGCAGAGTTCCAGCAGTGGCCCTGCGTCCGCCAAACGTTGGCCGGTGGGATCATCGCGGAGCAGCAGCGCCTCCACGTGTGCCTTGATGTTTCCCTCCCAATCGGGCACAGGCACTGTCCCCTCCGACTCCGTGTAACTCTGCAAAAGCGGGCCGTCGCCAAAGTCATCCATAAGCTTGGCGTCGTCGAAGAGTGGATCGACGCCAGTTAACAACGAAAGCACCACCAAGCCGAGAGCCCATGTGTCAGCTGTGGGGGAGAAAAGACCATGGGGTGATTGTCTGCAGTACGGTGGAAGCCGGTGAAGGGCAGGTGGGGGAATTTCCTCACCGTCCTGAGAAATGTGCCCCACAAGCTCAAAGTCGCAGAGTGCGGCACAGCCGGATTCGCTGTTTAACAAAATATTGTCCAAGTGAATATCATTGTGGGTGAATCCGCGGCACAAGATTCCATCCTTCACATGTGGTAACTCCTCACCAAGGAGGCTAATGGCAACAACCAGTTGAAAGGCGATGGCGGTTACGACCTTGCAATCGCGAATTGGCTCAAAGACACGGTGGGATAGCAGCGAACTTGCGGCAAACCTCTTCTCATCCGCGCCGTCCTCTCCGCGCTCTCCATGGCCAACAACTTCAACCGCGGGCCCGGTGGCAAGCAGAAACTGCTTAAGGCTGTAGTCATGCCTCGGCATCAGAATGCCACGATCAACGCCGCCAATCGTGACAATGGCCAACGGAAGGACCAAGTATGGCACTTGACGACAAACCCCGCAACTCCCGCCCTTGTTGTTGAAGGCAGTGAGATCACTGGCAAAAAGGGCCCGGATAAACGCGAGTTCGTTTTCCGTGATACTGATTGGGTATATCTTAAGCGCCAGTGGACACCCAAACGAAAACGGAACGTTCACCGTTTCCCCAACTCCGTACACGAGAGAGCCGCGGTCGCCACCGTGGCCAATCGCGCAGCCGTACAGGACATGCGAGCTGCAATCGCTGCTGAGCCGAGGCACCCCGTCGCCACAATCCTCGTCGTCAAAGTACGTCCAACATGGCGCCAGAGGTGAGTTGCCGTCACGGTTCAGTGTCTCCTTTACGGACATCATCGCTCGGGGCCGTGGGGGAGAGGAGAATGCAGGAGGCCGCAACGGTTTACCTCCCCCACTCCCCCCGCTCAAGCGGCGACACTGTTCCAGTAAATTTTGCCCTTGATTCTTTTTTTTTACTTCTTCCTTCCTGCCCCACAGTGCGCGTCAGTGTGGAAACTGCCGCCGCCCTCCTGTGTCCCGGCTACGAATGAGTGGACCCCAGGAAACTAAATGAACCGTGTCCGCACACGTCGCACGGGGGGCCTGCCTTTGTCCAAGGAAAGAGAAAGCCTGCCTGCTGTCTCCCCCACCTTCCCGTAGAGAAACAAAAACAAACCCTCCGACGGACGTGTCAAAAGCTCCGTCTACTGCTACAGTTACTAGTTGTACGCCACGTACCACCGGTGTAATATAGGCAACGGAGACTACACGTGCGACCAAAAAGGGGAAGAAACGGCGAAAGCGAAGTAGTTTGAATCACGCGGCCTGAGGCATGCGCTTCTTCCAGGCAGACACGCACCGAGACACACACACACACACACATAGGTAAAGAGAGAGAGAGAGAGATTTCCAACAAAGACGCGGCACACAGACATAGATGCCAAACAAGAACAAAAACGGCAACAAGAGGTCAGTTAATCAGTGCTTTTTTTCGTAAAACCTCAGGATTCACATCTGTGACGAAAAAACGTTTGCCCGGAACCTCTGCCAACGCAGACAGCAACTGTCTATCCTCCTCCATCTTTCGCCGCAGGTAGAGCTCACGCTGATTGGCCTTATACACGCTTCGCCACGCGAGCGCCACGACAGCTACTGCGGACACACCAAGTACAATGCGGTGCCAGCTGCAGTAGGAGCGCTTGTTCTCCTCGGATGACTTGCCAGCTATGCGGGTGCCTTCCTGCGCCATGTACAGCCACTCACTATCGCTTTATCGATGCCTTCCTTCTGCGATTATTTGTGTGTCTGTGTGTGCGCGTGGGGAAGCGGGGAATGAAAGGAGCACACCACAAAGAAGGACGCAATTAGGCAACTAACAACAACAGCCGGAAAAAAAAAGTTGTTGGCATTTGGCACAGGCCTCTTACCGTGCGACAGACCCCCTCAGTGGCCGATAGCACAGACAACAAAAAGAGAATAAGTAATGTATGTATGTATGTAATATCTTAGTCGAAGGCCGGGCGATGGTGCTTCACAACGCAGTCCTGCCTTCAGCGCTGACTCGTTACAATGTGCCCAGGTGCGTTCCGATCATGCTACCTATCGCCATCACGCCCTCGGACTGTGGCGTCTCGGCAACCACACGCACCCGCACAAGTTCGCCATTTTTCACAGACCGTGCGCCGTCCTTCGTAATCCAAATGCCTTCCACCCCGTCGCTTTCGTACACCCACTCGCTTCCCATCTGCCCGCGGCTGATGTACATTTTCCCAACTCCCATGACGTTCCCCCACCATCCCTCGCGTTCCACGCCCACCACCATCAAATCCACAACCTCCCCACGATGCAACTTGAAGACAAGGGCCTCGTAGTGAAGCAGAAACGCGACCCCGCCGTCATCTAAGACTCTCCCTTCCAGCGATTCTGTGTTCAGGATGTCCAGCACCGCGACGATGACGGCAGATGAGCTTTGATCCACACGAACCAACTCCCCATTGCTCCCTTTTGTGAGCGGCATCTGCAGAGGGTGCCCCTCCACAGCGTTGCGCAGGTATCTAGCAAGGTGGCGATGCAGTGTCCGGTCCAACATGTGGGGCTCCACCTTGATGATTTTCTGCAGTTCCATTTTGTAAAACATCCTTATCAATATATATATATATATATATATATATATTTTCTTCCGGTTCACTAATCGTCCGTGCACGGGTCCTCAAGGAAGCGTGAAGCGTCCACGCAGCTGCCGACCCCCCTCAAAAA